GTCAAACTATATGTTCTGCCCTAACCTAGTCTTTTCTCCTGCTTCTTACTAGCTCACTGAATTTGTGCTAATAATGTCTTAAAGTTCTCATTTCCTCATTTACAATATGGAATGAAAATAGTACATAATCTCAGATCTGTGGTATTGTTGGAAAAAAAATCAACTAACATGTTCATGGGATTTTTCTAGCACATGGTATTTATTAAATGGTAGCTACTAAAGTGGAAGATGAATCTGATAAATAATAAATATGAATTTAATAATAAATACTTTAATCATATGTATTCCCCCATTTTCTAAGATACCAGGTTGGTGTCCTAATTACACCCAAGTTTAAATAAGGCATGGTCCTCTTCGTGAAGAATTTTGCAATCTAGCATCACAGAAACCAGTGTTAAAAATCAAGAATAGACCTTTTGCAGTACTTTCAATAGCGTGAAGGCAAACAAAATGACCCAGGGGCCAAGGAATGAGGATTCCTGAAATAGATAGCATTCGAGCTAGGCCACCTCATGAATAGATAAGAAAGTAGGAAAATGGGAGACAGATGGACAGGTTACTCAGTCAGAGGAAAACAGGACTCAAAGGGCAGAGAGGTAAGCAGGAAAGCTGGAGTACTACCACATTTGCCTCAATTGGTGGCGGTGCTGTTAATTACGATGGCTGCATTTGAAGACAGGAGTTAATACCTTGCTTTAAGAACCAATGTCAATAAACTGAGGGATGTTTTCTTGAATAAAACTTGTTTATATTATTTTAAAATTTTCTTAGCTACAGGTGTACAAAATATTCAATGATTTTACTGGAACAACTATGCTTTCAATAAGTATTTATCATCTGCCAATGATAGCATTTGGAAATATAATTATTTTAGACAGCATTTAGATACTTCAACTCCAAAAGCATCAAAGTACATAATATCTTTTTTCCTACTTCAAGTTCCCAGTGGAAATTGTAACTGTTTCCTATTTTGTGGCTTAGTGCCAAAAGTAATTTTATTAGTCAAATGAAGTTAACACATTTTCATTTTTAACTAAGGGCAATTTACTTCCTGCTGGTCATTTACAGTTTCCTCTCTTAATGACTGACTTAGTAAAAGTGAAAGATTGCCTCAGGCTGCTGCTCAGCAGGTCATTAACAAGTTGTAAATGAGAGGGGCATTTAAACTATCACTTCAGTCCTATGCATGCGCAAAATAATAGATGGTATTAGATCCTGAGAACTTTTACCTAAAATATCAATTCCATTCTCAGTGTCATGATGCTCTGTGATTTGAATAATCTAAAGGATATCCTGGCAAGGAAAAAGGCCTTAAACTTCTATATTTCCATTTATTTTATCAAGGCATTATCACAATATGAACTCCATGCAATCATTACCCACATCAAGAGAAAGTGTAGCAAACAGCACTCTATGAAGCACAATTGTATCCTGTCTTATCCAAACCACTTGCCACCTCCTGCCCATACAAAGGTAACCACCATCTGGATGGTGCCTTCTGCTTCTCTTTAGAAAGCAAGTGAATTCATTAGAACCTTAGTAAGCATGTACTTAGATATTATGGCTGTGTTTCTTCTCATTTTGAATGTTAAATTTATAGAACCACATAGTATCGCTTCTTTTGTTTAACATTGGTTTTAAAAGTTTAACTATGGTGCTGCATGTAGCAATACTTGTTTATTAATTTTCACTGCTGCACAGCCTATTTAATTTAAAATAATTCGTATTATGCATTTTAATGTTGAAAGGCTATGCAGTGTCCCCCTGTTGTGCATATTGCTGCCATAGGACATCATTTTACACATCTCCAGTGCATATGTACCATGGATTGGGTCATTGTTAGATAGCTAGATATAGGATCTTGGCTCTTGGAACATGTGCAGCTTCAAATAAAGCTGCCAATGTGAAATATACCCAACATACCAGCAGTTGATGTGAGATCGCAATACTATTTTTCTTCAATGGCACATGGCATTCCTCAGATTTTTAATGCTTTATCAGTCCTGGTAATTATAGAGGTACTTTTTTTTTTTTAATGCTCCCACCACTTTATTTTTTTAAGATTTATTTATTTATTTGAAAGTCAGAGTAACACACAGAGAGAAGGAGAGAGAGAGAGAGAAAGAGAGAGAGAGAGAAAGGGAAGGAGGGAGGGAGGGAGAAAGGTCTTCCATCCACTGGTTCACTTCCCAATTGGCCACAATGGCCAGAGCTGCACCGATCCAAAGCCAGGAGACAGGAGCTTCTTCCAGGTCTCCCACTTGGGTGAGGGGCCCAAGGACTTGGGCTGTCCTCTACAGCTTTCCCAGGCCATAGCAGAGAGCTGGATTGGCAGTGGAGTAGCCGGGGCTCGAACCTGTGCTCATATGGGAATGCTGGGAACTGTAGGCGGTAGTTTTACCCGCTACGCCATAGGGCTGGCCCCCTCAAAGAAGGTTTAATTTTCAGTTTCCTTCTTACTAATAAGATGCAGTATCTTTTTGTTCTGTTTTGTTTTCTTTTACTTTTATTTATTTATTTTTGACAGGCAGAGTGGACAGTGAGAGAGAGAGACACAGAGAAAGGTCTTCCTTTACCGTTGGTTCACCCTCCAATGGCTGCTGCGGCCTGCTCGCTGCAGCCGGCGCACTGCACTGATCAGTAGATTATTTTTAAAAATATGTATCTTTTTGTGAATCAGACAGGCACAGAGAAACATACAAGCACAAAGAGAGAGCTCCCAGGCACTGGTTTACTCCCCAAATGCCTACAACAGCCCTGGCTAAGCCAAGCCAAGTCTGTCATTCTGGAACTCAATCCAGGTCTCCCTCATAGATGGCCAGGAACCAATTAAGCTATCACCTGCTGTTTCTCAGGGTCTGCATTAACAAGATGTTCCAGTCAGGCACTAGACTTGGATTTGAACCCATGCCTTCCAATATGGGAGGCAGACATACAAACCAGTGTCCTGATTGCGCGGGTGAATGACTCCCCCTTGTATCTCTGTAAATTCTTGTAAGGAAATAAGGTCGTACTTTCAGTTTAGTCCAATTTACTTTATGTTTTTTCTTTTTGGCTTTTACTTTAATAAGTCATTTCATGACTTAGATTTTTGGAAAAATAATCTCAGATATGACTTTACAGAATCTTTATGATTTTACATTTTTATTTAAATCAACCTCTTTCTCCCCCAGCGTGATGTGGTTTAGTGTTTCTATCTAGTAGGGGCCAAATGTTTTTCTTCATAGAGATGTGCAATTGTCCAGCACTATGTGTTGACAATAGTGCTGTTGTTGAGCAATCTACAGTAGTTGTCTTCCCACAAATCAAGTGTCCTTATATGTGCAGGGCTGTGTCAGTGTTCTCTATTCTGCTTGCATTGTTTTATACCACTATCTGATTTTCTTCATTATATTTGGCTTTTTCTATTTTGCAATTAGTCATTTGTTTTTTGAAGTTACCCACATACCTATACATAAACCTGTAGACAGGCATTGGCTTTGTGGTGGTTTTTAAGCTGTGCCTGTGATGCTAGCATTCCATATAAGAGCACTGGTGTAAGTCCTAGCACCTGTACTTTGATCCAGGTTTGTGCTGATGTTCCTGGAAAAGCAGTAGAAAATGGTTCAAGTGCTTGTGCCCTTGCCACCCAGGTAGAAGACCCAGATGGAGTTTTGGGCTCCTAGTTTTTGCATAGACCAGCCCAGCTGTTGTGGCCATTTGGAGAGCAAACCAACAGATGTGAGATCCTTCTCTTAGTCTATTCATCTCTCTCTCTGTTACTCTGCCTTTGAAATAAGTTAATAAATCTTAAATTTTAGAGAGAATCATATAACTTTTTTTAAAAATGTAGAGATTCTTATTATATTTAATTGAGTACCTGAATCCACTTGTGGAGAATAACATCTTTAGGATATTGTCTTCCAGTTCATTAATAAGAAATCTCCCTAGAGATTTTCAAAAGGGACTTATTTATTTACTCATATATAGTTCATTTTTGTGGAGCCATCTTGTGTAGCCCAGGTACAGCTACCTGATTTTGTGTTTCCTGATGTTTTGTAGGATACAGATGAGTTTTGTATGATTGGTGTCCCTAGCAACTGTTTTTTACAGTCATTGTAATCCTACTAATTGATTAGTTTTATTTAAAAACTTTCATAAACATAATTATATCCTTTGAAAACAGTGTTTTTCTTTCACAAAAATCCTTATAACATGTGTTTATTTTTATTTATTTATTTATTTATTTTTTTGACAGGCAGAGTGGACAGTGAGAGAGAGAGACAGGGATAAAGGTCTTCCTTTGCCGTTCGCTCACCCTCCAATGGCCGCCGTGGCCAGCACGCAACCAGGACAGAATCCGGCACCCCGACCAGGACTAGAACCCGGTGTGCTGGTGCCGCAAGGTGGAGGATTAGCCTATTGAGCCACGGCGCCGGCCATAACATGTGTTTATGAGTATTACATCATTCTATTGGCAAGTCAAATATTATATAGTATTTGCAATAGCAGACATCTTTGTCTCACATCAAAATTCATGGCAAGGTTTTTTCACTATAAACAAATACTAAATTATTTTTTATTCCTGTAATGGATTATGAAATACATTTTATTTATCTATTGATATTATCTGACGGTTCTTCTTTATTTTGCTAAGATATGACTTTGATTTTCAGAAAATGTTAAGACAATTTTTATTCCCACAATCAACCCAACTATTCCATGATATTTTTATTATCTTCATATACTAGTAAATATTGTTTCTTAGCATCTTCTTAAAATTTTTGAATGTAGTTATTTTATGAGTTTGGCTCATGATTATACCTTACTGTGTTATTGATTTTCAATAACGTCAGTATATCTGATAAAGGAACACACATGTTTATATTTCCTTTAGACCATCTTGTACACAGACACACATATATGCATGAAATTTGTCCAAGAATCCCTGCAGAAATGTTCAGTCAAATCCCCTTCCATCATATCACATCATCATTTATTTAACATGAACTAGTAGGCTGTTTATAAATTATTATTTAACTTGATTCCCATTGAAATCTGGATTTAATGACAATTTTTTGGGCAATAGGGCAAGGATACAAGAGGAAGAATTTTGTAAAATTTAAATTCTGTTTTAAATGCCCTATTATTCTATAATAAATTCCCTTTATTGAACCATTAGTATAATGGCTAATAACATAAGTTTTAAGATCTATATGCTAATACGAAGTGTTCCTTTGGAAATTTTTGTATTTGCTTTCTATGCTCATATTCCAGTATTTTGTTATGATCCATGTCAACATATTGAAAAATGTGAAACAGAAGCATCATTTAAATGTCTTTACATTTGAAACAAATGTACTTAAATCACAATTAACTTTTTATGGTCCAATTGTGAATTAGGTCCTTTTTTTATCAGTAATTAGAATGAAGAACAGATGGTGTAGACTTTAGCAAAAAGTGATAATCTCGCCAAACTAGGATGTTGTCAACTGATTATTCACAAGATGAGGATCTAGTCCCTTGATCAAGTGTCTGTTTTAAAGGTTAGGAAATGAGACATGTGCTTGAACTACAAAAACTTGGAACTTCACAAACAGAATAGTTTCCCAGTTGTATGAGTCTTAGGAGTACTCTGTTGGTTGCCATTCATTGAGAATAACTTCATTAAGTCCTTGTATGATCATTTGGAGAAATTTCCCTTTACTGTCAGAAAACCATTGCTACAATATATCCTAACCATTCTTATCAGTTATTAGTAAGTTTAGGAAGAAACTCCCTCTGTTTTCATCATGTATCAACCCTAGACAACTCTTCCTTTGAATTCTCCACAGAAATTTTTCAGGGGATTCCAGGATCCTAGGAGCCATAAAGCATTTACCAATATCCAGAACATGTTCTCTTGCCTCTGGACTTGGCCACGCTCCCAACAGAAAAGTAGCAGATGATCCAGGTGAGTAGGAGGCTCAGACAAGTGCACAGTGAGACTAAATTTATAAGTACCTCAAGTGATGCTGAGAATGAATCTCCTGATGAGTTGGAAAAAATAATCAGGTGAAACACTGACGGGAACAACTTGCCAGTGCTGATATTTAGAACTAACTCCACAGATCTAGGATTCTAGGGCATCATCTGTCTCAATCCATACCTCACCACTCTGAGGCCATACCATGTTCCCAATGACTGCCTATACTCCTGGCTATTAGAAACCAAATCATTATAATGTTACAGGTAGCTTAATCTTTCTAAATCATCCTGACTACCTTCTAGTATGGAGATACAAAGAGAAAAACAAGAGGGGGATGTGTTAAGGGATGCCCGTACATTTATGTATTTCTGTATAGAGTGTGACTGTGAATGTGTATGCAGGGTGATGAGTATGGCATATGGTATCAGATGGCGGAGGGAACACATGTTACTTATTACATCAGGCTGGCCATTTCTGTGAAGCGAAAAATAAAGCAAAGCAATGGGTCATCCATAAACATTTAATTTCAGATCAGCTAAAATTTTTGTAACTAGAGAATTACCAGAAAGTTTGCAAATTTTAGTCTTTAAGAGATATGCATATGGGCTGGCACATGGCTCAATAGGCTAATCCTCCGCCTGCGGCACCGGCACACCAGGATCTAGTCTCAGTCGGGGCGCCCGATTCTGTCCCAGTTGCTCCTCTTCCAGTCCAGCTTTCTGCTCAGGCCCAAGTCCTTGGGCCCTGCACCCCATGGGAGACCAGGAGAAGCACCTGGCTCCTGGCTTCGGATCAGCGTGGTGCGCTGGCCACAGCGGCCATTGGAGGGTGAACCAACGGCAAAGGAAGACCTTTCTCTGTGTGTGTCTCTCTCTCATTGACCACTCTGCCTGTCAAAAAAAAAAAAAAAAAAAAAAGAGAGAGAGAGATATGCATATGAAGTTAAAATTAAAGGTATATTCAGGAAATTAATCTAACTTTTCTTGGAGAGTCATTACCTTCCTGAAACACTTAATACAACATCTGACAGAGTTTCATAACTCCTTTGTGTATTAAAGTTACATTGCTACCATGTGTGTTGCTGTTTGGAATTTCTTCAAATATTTGAAGTTAAGGAAATTAAGCTTAATGTCATCTAATTGGACACTCTCAAACTTCTCATCAAATTACCCATGGAAAAATGGTGAAAATATAAAAATATACAGGAGAAATTAGAAACAACAATCAACAATAAGCTAGGCTGGCGCCGCAGCTCACTAGGCTAATCCTCCGCCTTGCGGCGCCGGCACACCGGGTGCTAGTCCTGGTCGGGGCACCGGATTCTGTCCCGGTTGCCCCTCTTCCAGGCCAGCTCTCTGCTGTGGTCCGGGAGTGCAGTGGAGGATGGGCCAAGTGCTTGGGCCCTGCACCCCATGGGAGACCAGGAGAAGCACCTGGCTCCTGCCATCAGATCAGCGCGGTGTGCCGGCCACAGCGCGCTGGCTGCGGCGGCCATTGGAGGGTGAACCAACGGCAAAGGAAGACCTTTCTCTCTGTCTCTCTCTCTCACTGTCCACTCTGCCTGTCAAAAAAAAAAAAAAATAAGCTAGACAACAAGAATTATTACTAATAAAGAGCTATTTAAAATTGTATAACAAAATACCATGGCTAGTTAAAAACCTAATGAGCTTTTCACCATTCTTAATGTATACTCCTACTCAAAGACTAAGAATATTCACTGCTTAGGGGAGGGAAGGTATATACTGAAATGCATGGAAAGCCCTTCCAGAGGTGATCAGACAATTTCTCTTCATTCCAATAGCATCATTAAGATTCTGTCATTTTGTAGTTATTTGGGACGTTATAATTTTCAAAAACACAATATGTCTTTAGTTTCAATTTGATAGTTTGGATAAATTGAAATACTGAGAATGAAATAGTTAGGAAATAAGAGGGAAATCTTGGAAGCAATGAATTTTAAGCATTCTACATGCATTTAATATTTTGGCTATGCTAAAATCTATAGATTTTCCAAGGGCTTCTAATTATGAAGAGATTAAGTTACAAAACATTTTGTATAAATATCTTTGTTGATAATTATAAAGTCCCAAAGAATTTTGTGAATATAATTATAAAAATTTCTAAAATACAAAAATTACTAACATAATTTGTTATGAAAGGAAGAGTTGATAATTTTGCTCCTCCTCACTTTTATGGAATTTATCAGCATTTGGAGTTTTATTTTTAAAAGTATCTTTAAGTTAACTTGAAAAACAGTGTTCCAGAGTTAATCAGATTATTGGGGAAACAAACATTCAATCAATTCTCAGATTAATAAAGACACAGATAAATAGCTATCTGATTCCATAATTTTAAAGCAGATTTTGGGTCACTAAACACTGAAACCTATACCCAGCAAGAGAATAGAACAGCATCTTGATCATTGGTAAGAGAGAACAATGGGAAAAATGACCCAGGACTGAGAGACATTGCTCTTGCAATGAGGAATTCATAAACAACATTTATCTAGGTCCATTAGATGACAATATAATAAAACTCTTTAGTCCCTTCAAGTTTCACAAAGCAAACTATATTTTAAATGTGTGTTCATGTATTTTCATCTACTTGAAAGGCAGAGTAACAGAGACCTAAAACAATGATAAAGACTATGTGTGTGTGTGTGTGTGTGTGAGAGAGAGAGAGAGACAGAGAGAGAGATAGAGAGAGAGACAGAGAGAGACAGAGAGACAGAGAGAGAGAGAGATCATCCGTCCTCTGGTCCACTCCCCAAATACTGATAACAGCCAAGTTTGGGATAGACCAAAACCAGGAGCCTAGAATTCCCTCCAGGTCTCCCACAAGGATCATAGAGGCCCAAGACATTGAACCATCATCTGCTGCATCCCAGGATGCAATAGCAAGAAGTTGGATCAGAAGCAGAGCAGCCAGTACTCAAAGTAGGCACTGTGATATGAGATATGAGCAACCCAAATGGCAGCTTAACCTGCTGTGCCATAATGCCCACCCTTCAAAATGTATTTATATGGGGGCTGGTGCTGTGGCATAGCAGATAAAACTTCTGCCTGCAGTGCCAGCCTCCCATATGGACATCATTTTTAGTCCCAGCTGCTCTACTTCCTATCCAGCTCTCTGCTATGTCCTAGGAAAACAGTAGAATATAGCCCAACTCCTTGGGCCCCTGCACCAACATGGGAGACCTGGGGAAAGCTACTGGCTTAGGATCAACCCAGCTCTGGCTGTTGCAGCGATCTGGGGAGAAAACCAGTGGATGGAAGACCTCTCTCTCTGCTTCCGCCTCTCTGTAACTCTGCCTTTCAAATGAAGAAAGAAATTGAATCTTTTAAAAAGAAGATTTACTATGTAAAAGAATATTATTTTTTAATTTTTTAAAATATTTAGAAAATTGAAGAAATTGATAAATATAAAATTAAAAAGCAAAAATGTGATAGAATGGTAAGAAACTAAAGAAAGCAATTTTTAAAATTTTTTAAATAAATTTTTAAAATTTATTTGAAAGGCAGATTGACCAAGAAAAAGGGAGAGATAGACACAGACATATTCCATCTACTGCTATATCCTTTATCAGTTGCCTAGTTTGCAAATACTTTGTCCCATTCTGTTGGTTGCCTCTTCACTTTGTTGACTGTTTCCTTTGCTGTGCAGAATCATCTAAGCTTGATGCAATCTTGTTTGTCTATGTTTGCTTTTATTGCTTGTGCTTCTGGGGTCTAAGTCCCCAATTAAACTTTTCAAAAAGATTTAGCCCTAAGTTTGGAAACATATCAAAGAAAATCAGTCAAAAAGTAAAAACAAGCAATAAATAAAATCACACCTTGTTTTAGAGGGAGTAACAGAAATAGTACATGGGGCCAGTGCCAGGGCTCACTTGGTTAATCCTCCACTTGCGGCGCCAGCATCCCATATGGGCGCCGGGTTCTAGTCCCAGTTGCTCCTCTTCCAGTCCAGCTCTCTGCTATGGCCCAGGAAGGCAGTGGAGGATGGCCCAAGTGCTTGGGTGCCTGCACCTGCATGGGAGACCAGGAAGAAGCACCTGGCTCCTGGCTTCGGATAGGCACAGCGCTAGCCACAGCGGCCATTTGGGGAGTGACCCAACAGAAGGAAGACTTTTCTCTCTGTCTCTCTCTCTCTCACCTGTCAAATAATAAAAAGAAAAAGAAAAGAAATAGTACAGAGACAAAAATATGTGATAACCTGTAATTATACACTGGAGTATTAGCACTGGCCCCAACAGACATGCAGGGAACTGGATTAGAAGTGGAGCAGCCAGGACTCAAACTGTTGCTGTGTTGTTGGATGCCATCACTGCAAATGGCTGCTTAACTCAGTGCCGCAATGCTGGCCCCAGTTGCAGATAACTGTTGTCAGGGAACTAGAGGCTGATCGTGACTATGATGAGTGTGAAAATTTTTTACAAAATAGACCTAGAACTCTTGCTTTTATGAGGTTTACCTATGGGAATCCAAGAGGTTCTAACAGTAAAGATATATGGAAGATCTCAGCATTGCTCTGTCAGGGGACCATTTAATAAACAGCTAAAATCTTTTCATTGCATATATCAATCCCACTCTTAGGTTTTTACACAACTGATCTGAAAACCCATTTGTGGACTTCCAAGATGGCTGAATAGGGTGGAGCCACAATAGCTTCAGCTTCTCTGGGATATGAAGAGAACGAAGGAAGGACAGCATTTCTAGAGGTCTGACTGATGGAAGTTTTTGGCAAAAAGAGAAAAAAAAAAAACAAAAAACAAAAAAAAAAAAACAAAGACTCTGGGGGAAAATAAGAGAGAAGACAGAGATGCCGCTGCAGCCAGTGACGTAGCACAGCCAGCTGCCTTTTGCAAGCTTCCATCTTACCTCATCATGGCAGGAAAAAAGAGCTTCATGCCCTGCCATTCGGGTCTCACTGAGAGGGAATTCCAGTCTCCCACTGACTCTCACTTCAGCCGTGGGAACCAAGTGGGGTCTGAGGAACAGCCAGACCTGGAGCAGGGAAGCTGCTTTGATTCCTCCCCCACCCACACTCCCCAAGTGCCACATTCAGCAGTGCGAAGTTAGGCAGTCAGGAGGAGACAACAACTTCTTGTAAGTCAACAGTGTTTGGCAGCTTGTGTCCCTGTTGATATTGCCTCAGGGAGAACCTTGCTGACTTTTGCATCTGTCCTGGAGCACTAGCTGGGATGGAGGTGTAGGTCCTAGAGCACTAGATGGGATGGAGGTGGGGGCAGAGTGCCCACCTAACCCCATGAATAGAGAGTACCTTGCCTGCTTCTCAGTCCCCAGCAATGGCTCGCAGCAACAACCAGGGAAGAGGTGCCATCTGGAAAATGCCAGTGAAGGCAGTCCCTGATCATGAGCTTGCAAGGACGGGTTTTTACCTGACAGATAAATTCCCAGTTCCTACTAACTCTGAGTCTAGCCTGGAGGGTTCACAGGGGGAGGGGCTCCCACGTAAGCCTGTGAAGAGCTCTCTTCCCCTAAAGCCAAGGCAGAACACTGGCAAGCGCAGGTTCTGGGAGCAAAGAACGAGCGGGTTCCCGGGGCTGAGTGGATCCCCTGTTCCCTGTGACTGTGGGAGCCCTGCATGCTATGTGGGAAATCTGTGACTGCATGATGGGTTATGGCATGTATCTGGGTCTCAGACAATCACTGTGTCTGGCTGAAGAGGCTAAGAGTTCCCTGAATGCCTGGGGTAGGTCACTGCAGAGTATTCTGTGCCTACACCGAAGACTACACAGATGCTCTGTGTGGTTTCTGTGCAAACCTTTTCATCTATGTCATGTGTGGGTTTATTTACCCCAAGAATTTGCTGCTCACTGTTTTTGAGTAATCTTATGATCATCTTTTGCATTCCTTTTCAGTCATTTCCTCAGTATCCTCACATTCTAATACTGCAGTGTTGTGCTCTTTTGTGGATGTCATAGTCTCTTCCTTGTCCATGTTTCTCTTACTTCTACATTTACTTTTAGGCATTTGTGGAAACACTTGTTGGTTTTCTCCTCCGATGGCTTCTACCCTTGAATCATGCATCTGTGTCTTAGTGCAATGCCTGCTCCTTCAGTGGATTTCCAGAGGCATGTGCTGGCCGGGACAGGCAGCAGGCAGGCATGCTCCAAGCATCCAGGCTGACACACAATTTGGGCGTGGTAGATGTCCTCTAATGTCAGCAGCAGTGAGGATATGCTCTCATCAGCTGGTGTGATCACTGTCTCACCTGCTCCCTCCCAAGGTGATTGATGTCCATGGCAAGCCCACGGTACCTACACACCCCACCAACACAGGCCCATGACGATAGAAGCAGAGGGAGAGATGGTTCAATAATTAAAATGGGTATCAATGAGGTTACTACTGGAATGCCTACAAGTCAAGCAATGTTGGCACACTCTTATAAGCTGGAGCAGACAGGAAGTACATTCTCTTCATAGAATATTCCACAGAACACAACTCAGTTGACAAAGTGATTGTAGCCTAAGAGATCCATATTTATACTGATAACTTCCAAAAAATTATGTGTTTAAGCTACCAAATTTGTAGCATCTCATTAGAGCAATAAAAGAAAATGAATACAGAATATAATAAAATTAGTCATTGCCAATTATAGTATGCAATTACTTTTCTAAATCAGTGACTTAGCACTTAGAAAAGACTTTTTAAATATATATTAAATATATGTATAATAATTATAATGTATATTTTATATGACACTTTGTAACATATATTTGTGTTATGTAATTGTATTTATATATGATATGTATTATTTTATATAATTGTGTTTATATGTGACATATATAATATGTATGAGGTATTAAATATATACAAAATTGTATATGTACTAATGTCATACCACATAATTATAAATATATTATTTATAATATATAATTGTAATTACAATTATTACTATATAATGAATAATATATACAATATACAATATTATATGTAAATCTACATGTAAAATATTTAAGATAGAAATGATTATATGTAATATATACTCTAAATTTAATACAAATACATATTTTCACAATGTATATTAAATAATGTATGGATTTTAGCATAATAAATATTGAGTATAAAAAGCCATATTTATAATATATAATCTATTTAATATATTAATATATAACAGTTATATATAATGTACAATATTAATATATTGCTCTTTAATGTATATATTATATATTCAATATATTATTTAATACCTAAAATATATAATTAATAAAATGTATATTATATCTGTTGCAAATATATAACATGTGATGAATAATATATAAAACATAAATTATATTATAATACAAATATATGGTATGTTATATTAATATAAGAGAAAGGTACCTCCCTCTTTGGTTATCCCATTCTTTCTGCTGGGCTCTCACTCACAGAGTTCTTTCATTTAGGTAACTTAGGTAACTTTTTTTTTTTTTTTTTTTGCCACAGTGTTGGCTTTCCATGACTGAAATATTTTCATGGGCTTTTCAGCCAGATCCAAATTCCTTAAGGGCTGATTCTGAGGCCAGAGTTTTGTTTAGGACATCTGCCATTCTATGAGTCTGCTGTGTATCCCGCTTTTCATGTTGGATCATTCGCTCCTTTTTAATTCTAAAAGTTAGTATTAGCAGACACTAGTCTTGTTTATGTGATCCCTTTGACATTTAATCCTATCACTTGGACTAGTGAGATTGCATTGGTACATGCCACCTTGATGGGATTGAATTGGAATCCCCAGGCATGTTTCTTTTTTTTTTTGGACAGGCAGAGTGGACAGTGAGAGAGAGAGACAGAGAGAAAGGTCTTCCTTTTGCCATTGGTTCACCCTCCAATGGCCGCCCCTGCTGGTGCGCTGTGCTGATCCGATGGCAGGAGCCAGGTACTTATCCTGGTCTCCCATGGGGTGCAGGGCCCAAGCACTTGGGCCATCCTCCACTGCACTCTCGGGCCACAGCAGAGAGCTGGCCTGGAAGAGGGGCAACCGGGACAGAATCTGGCGCCCTGACCGGGACTAGAACCCCGAGTGCCGGCGCCCCTAGGTGGAGGATTAGCCTAGTGAGCTGCGGCGCTGGCCTATTAATAGATATTATCTTACATTTATTATAAATCAATATATTAAATGTATATATTTAAAATAATATAATTATATTATGTAAAGTATACTGTGTCTAATAGTATAAAATTTATATATATGGTATATAATATGTGTACGCATGAAAATATATATTTAATGTATATTATATCTATATAGTTACAAAATATAAAATATATGTAAACATTTTGTTAGCATTATACACATCGTATATATAATATTTGATCATTATAAGTAAAATATGTTACCTATATAAAATAATACATAATGTACTTATATATATTACACATTCATATGCATTACATATGTGACATAATTATATACATAATTATACATAAATTATAAATATTTTGAAATTATACTTTATAGTTCTTACATGGAATTTTAATTATTATATATGTAATATGTAATATATAGTGCATTTTATATATAATATATGTATATCTTTAAAAACATGTAAATACAGCATGTGTATTATAAAAATGTCATTTATAAATTGTTATACATATCAATACTATATTTTATATTTTTGATTTTATGTTAAATTTATGTATATATTTATGTAGACCTATAATTAAAGCATGTGTTAGATATTATATATATTAAATATTGAATATATAAAATTAATATACATAATATATATTTCCATATGTAAAATATTTAATATGTATCAGCCCTTGTCCTGACTGTCAAGGAACAACTTTCTACTTTATTCCTTTTAGTATTTTTTGTACTACTTAATACCATTGGTTGAATTCTTTCATTAACACACAATTATTCTTAAGTGTTTAAATCTAACTGAAAAGTGATCTCAGTTATATATAAGAATGGGAATAAGAGAGGGAGGAGAGTTACAGTTCGTCACATGCTCAATCGGATGTACTCCTAACGGTAGAGTTAGAAACGTGCCAGAGGCTGGCGCCGCGGCTCACTAGGCTAATCCTCCGCCTTGCGGTGCCGGCACACTGGGTTCTAGTCCCGGTCGGGGCGCCAGATTCTGTCCCAGTTGCTCCTCTTCCAGTCCAGCTCTCTGCTGTGGCCAGGGAGTGCAGTGGAGGATGGTCCAAGTGCTTGGGCCCTGCACCCGCATGGGAGACCAGGAGAAGCATCTGGCTCCTGCCATTGGATCAGCACAGCGCGCCAGCCGGGGTGGCCATTGGAGGGTGAACCAACGGCAAAAGGAAGACCTTTCTCTCTGTCTCTCTCTCTCACTGTCCACTCTGCCTGTCCAAAAAAAAAAAAAAAAAAAGAAACATGCCTGGGGATTCCAATTCAATCCCAACAAGGTGGCATGTACCAATGCAATCTCACTAGTCCAAGTGATAGGATTAAATGTCAAAGGGATCACATAAACAAGACTAGTGTCTGCTAATACTAACTTTTAGAATTAAAAAGGAGAGAATGATCCAACATGAAAAGCGGGATACACAGCAGACTCATAGAATGGCAGATGTCCTAAACAAAACTCTGGCCTCAGAATCAGCCCTTAAGGAATTTGGATCTGGCTGAAAAGCCCATGAAAGTATTTCAGTCATGGAAAGCCAACACTGTTGCAAAAAAAAAAAAAAAAAGAAAAAAAGTAACCCAAATGAAAGAACTCTGTGAGTGAGAGCCCAGCAGAAAGAATGGGATAACCAAAGAAGGAGGTACCTTCCTCTGAAGGGAGGAGAGAACTTTCACTTTGCTATGTCCTTGCCTAAATAAGATCAGAGTTGGCGAACTCAAAAGGCTTCCATTGCCTTGGCAACTCACGACAAGAGACTTGGGTGATTACTGATGTCATAAATAAGAGCATCAATTGTTAAGTCAACAACAGGAATCACTGTGCACTTACTCACCATATAGGATCTCTGTCCTTAACATGTACTATGTGAATTAACTGTATAACTACTACTCAAACAGTACTGTATACTTTACTATACAATATACTACCTTATATATTTTTATCTTATACTATATACTACTTTATACTTTACTATGTATTACTTTATACTATAATTACTATAAAATATAGAATTATATAT